ATTTTCACCCGTGGTGTGAAGTCACTTTCAATAACACAAAATGAGTGTATATTGGGAAATATAAAATAGCATAAACCAAGACAATACTCCAGCATACTGGAGACTGTTCCTTTTGTCAGCGTTTGGTAAGGGGGAAAATGGTAAAGCCTGAAGCAAGCAGAAAGCATCAGAACAGCCGAGCATTAAAAAGTCATATTGCCTTCTGGCTGTCACACCTAAAAATAACTTAAATGTAGTGGATATTCCTGACAGTGACAACGTCTGATAAAATCTTCATAACATGCAGATGGAGTACTTCTAGGAAACAGTAAAACAAAGAAGCTTTCAGGAAAGAATGCCATCCTTCCATAAACAACCTGCAGTACATAACTGCGTGTTTGTGCGAAATATACCAAGCACTTCAGGGGATTTCAGCTTAACTTCTTTTCTGAAGCTGGAAGACATTTTCTTAAGAGATTTATCAATTCTTGGTGCATCATGCCCAGTCCTGAAAAGTGCTGAGCTCTTCTTTGGGATGTTAAATGTTTTCAGGTGACACTGACACCAGTGATGAGAGAGCCCTCTAACACTGCTCTGAAAGATATCTGCTTGTAAAATTGATTCAATTGAAGTTTGTGGAAATAAGGTGTTCCAAACAATGTTTTCAAAGGCGGGATCTGCCTGGTGCTTCTGTGGTCCACTCTCACTGGAACCCACAGTCTCAGGGGTCCCTTAACACTAGAAATCCTGCATGCTGGGCACCCCTCTGCCACCCATGTAACTGCTCCTCACCTTTGGATTCATAGCCAGAAGGTTTCAGAACCGATATTGTTATCAAAGTGAGTATTAGGCTAAAAAGCAACTACGTAGTTGAGAAGGAGAAAGGTTCAAAACAAAGAAAAGCAAGAAGTCTTCATGCAATGATTAGTTAAGCTGTGGACCTCCCTGCCAGAGGATGCTGAGGGTGCTGAAGGTTTAAGTTGATTGAACACAAAACTTTTGACTGTTTATGAACATACAGAAAACACAGCTGGCTCAGGGAGGTACCCCAGCTGGTGGTGGTTGGATACCTAGTATCACCACAGCCTGCCTTGTTCTTGATCATTTTTAGCATCTTTATCATTTTTTTAGCATCTATTTTTGGGCAATGATGGACATATGATGCAGCGCTGGATATAGGACACTGGGTTCAATGGACCTTTGGTCTGACCCAGTAGGGCTGCATTTTTTTTTCTTAATATTCAAAGTCAAGTTGTCAGTTGATTTAGGATACCTGAGACATTTCTGAAAAGATAAAAATTCAGAGATCCTAATTCTGCTAACTTCAGAGACAGGTACTACAAAAGCATACAGATGCCTGAGGTCTAAATTCATCACTGCTCCTGTGAAACTTGATTGTATTAGGAACTGAATCACCAGGAGTACAAGTATGGAAAACCAGGAGGATAGAGCTCCAGCCCTGCTGAAGCGAGTGGGAGTTTCGTCCTTGACTTCTGTGGGGCTAGGATTTTACTTAATGCTTTTATTTCCCCTTTCTCACACTACAAGAGCCAGAGGATATAGCACTGAAATAACAAATGATGCCTTTGAGCTGATACATAGAAGTATTTCTCCATGCAACTGATTTTTCAAAGTTTATGCTTGGGAAAGTATTTGGACGTAAACTGCAATTAAAAATCTTTCAGTCTTGCTGAGACAAATTTACATAAATAATATGCCTTTTTATACTGCAGGGCAGAAACAGACTGCTTAGGGATAGGAAGACGGTGTTGCATATCTGTTTGTTGTAGGTGGCTGTTTTTTCAAAACTTCCTCTAGCATGTATGTTGGAGGACGGCAGATTGGATGGATATTTGGTTTAATTCGATATGGTCTTTGGTTAAAATAGACTTCCTGAAAACATGCAAACTCTTCTACACATTGAAAAGTAAAGGGAAAATATTAAAGTAACTGCTGCTTTATGTGTTGACAAATTAAATGTTACCATGGATACACTGGTCTGTTTACAGCAATAATAATAAATATTTTCAATTCACACTGTGCTTTTCATCTCAAAGGATCCCCAGATGGTTTACAAATGACATACATGGATTGCTCTACACGGCACTGAACTGCAGCCACAAGAACTGCCTAATAATCTATATTGGTACTGCCTGGCGGTGGAAGGTAGAAAACGTACTGTACCCTGAGTGAATCTGTGGGGATTGTTTGGGAAACCAGAATGTAAATGGCAGACCTGAAAAAAGAGCTGAACAGCAAAATGCAAAGAATCAGATAGGATCAGGTATCAAGTTACTGATACGATTTGGTAATTCTTTGAGCAGCTGGATTAAATTTTTACTAGAGCTGGGAAGAAACTGTTTCCTTCTTGAAAAACGTAGAGGTCAAAACCTTTCCCTTTTCACCCCGAGGTGAGTACCTCTGCAGTTTTGAAGGGAGAGAGCATCCCGCTGCAAACACAGTTTAGGGCCCTCTCCAGGGATGTGGGAGATCTGGTTTCCAGCCTTATTTGATTACTTTGCCCTGCTGAGTGACTGTCTTTACTCTTCCTGGGGGAATTGTTCATTTTGACCTAAATAAGCTTATCAAATTATTACAATTATTTGAATTAGTATTAGTTGGGGCTTGAACAAGGTATCATTGCAAGGTAACTCCGGTGTGCACAGCCGTTGAACAGCTGGGTCATTTTCTCTCTGGCAATCTGTACAAAGTGGCCGAAGCCCCAGTGAAGGAGATCAGAAATGAGCAACATGGCAGTAGCTTGGTGATCTGGATATTCTTCTGAGAAGAGAAATGCCAATACAACTCTCCTGCTTCCTACATGAGTACACAGTCCAAGCCAGGGAGCAAGCGAGACTCTGTCTGCCTCTCTTTTTTTGCAAGAAAGTTTCTCCTGAAACTAAGAAACTTGACTGAAACTTCATGATCATCACTGGTATCTTCCCACAATTTTTCATCATGAATCAATCTTTTATGGCTTAAGGAAAAAAATGGTGTCATCAAATAAATAAAAAAACCACCCAAACCCTGACAGTTCCAATATTTACCTTTCCTTTAGATCACATTTAACTTTGTGCTTTCTAGATATAGTGTGAGTAATTCTCTATGCTTTTGCTTTCTTAGGCAAAGCATTAGTGCTTGTGACCTATATAACCAGTGGCAGAGAAAATGATTCCTTAGAAACACTTTATACTCAGAGTGGTTTTCTACATTGTTTAGGAGAGGCAGCTACATGACGGAGTCCAGTGAACTGCTTGAGAATTCTTCATTGCAGTGGCTGCCTTTATAGCAGTAACTCTTTTAAATTCCTGAGCTGTGCCTACCCTTCTGGGGTCAAAAATAATTGCAGGTGCAAGTGATGGAAACGTATCTAAGTAGTTATTATTATTTCACACTTCAGTCTTGAAAGGCCAAGAAACCTGGAAGACCAGGTCCTCCTTCCTGTAAAAAAAAACCAAACAGAAAAAAACCCCAAAAAACAAAGAACAAACCACAACCCCTCACTACTAACAGCTTTTTTCTTAACGAACTTGCCTTGTATTATTAAGCATCCAAATAATTAAAAAAATTGTTAACAAAAAAGGTCTATTTGGCTGAGGCTCTTCACTGGGCTAAAACTAAGTGGAATTTAAATTAACTACTGGAGTTCAGTAGTGACTCTCTTCCATCTTTCAAGAGAGGGTATTTAAAAAGTGCAACACTTCTATCTGACTTAAGCTTTTGTTGAGAAACCAAGGTAGGGTTGAGGTTTATACCTTAAACACGGACCAGGTTTGCTGATATTTTGTAAACCTTTTGGTGTGTGTTGGGCGAGCTTCTAGCAAACTGTCCCAGCTATTATTTTGATGGCAGTCTTCCTGAAACTCAGTGTTTCCATGTGGTTTCCACCCAGAACAATGCAAAACCTGCTGAATTTACCTGGAATTTACTTTTACGCTTGGGAACGTGAAAAAATGGAGCACTTTAGTAGCATGTTTTTATATTAACACACATTACAGGAAAAAGAAAAGGGTTGCACAGATGTATGTGAACTGGGATCACTAAGATATTGACAGTGTTTTCTTGGATACCTATTTATAAAACCTTGCCTTGCTGCTAGCCTCCTGTGAAAACTCTGCCAGCCTTGACTCTAAATTTTGTCTGTTCATAGGACAGGGATGATTTGCCTTGCCTTTTTCAGTGGGTTGCTGCAAGCACTCTGAATCACATTTTTAAACATCATTGGGTAAAAAAACTGCAGAGAGGAGTTTACAAACCATGTGATGAACCACCAGGAGGAGGAAGAGCTCAGAAGGCTTTTTTGTGTCTGTGTGCATGTACATTTTGCTCAGTTTATCATCATTACTGCTAAATTACTTTTGTTGTTTTCCTACAGTCACTTATGTTCTTACTTACTGATAATGTCTTGTATTCTGCTGCCAGTTGTGTTTCTAGAGACTTGCCGCTAGTATAAGTAGTAGATGATTGATGGTGTACTGTAATCTTGGGTTGATTCATTATATCTTGAATGATTAAAACACGCTGCTTGTATTTGAAAGGCTGAAATCTGAGCACAATTTGCTGCAAGTCAGAAATCCCCATGAGCAAGGGGAGCTACAGAAGCAGGGGCTGCAGCATAGCAGGGAATACAAGGAGCGTCAGTGGGTAGATCACAGCAAAATCTAACCCTTCATCTTTTTTTAATTGTGTGCTGACTCCTACACAGAGATTTGACAGATACAGCTGGCTTATTGACTCGTTAGTCTTGCACTAATTGACTGCGGGTTTAGATACCGGAGCCTCTAACCAGTTGTTAAACTCTGAGTAGGCACGTTGGTAACATGCCAGCAAGAGTGTTTGGGGGAGGAGAAAGCTGCTCGGTACATGTCTCTCAGATTCAGCTCCCCGCGCCGGGAGATGTGTGAGGTTGGGTGTGCGTGCTGTCACAGGCAGATATTCAAGGGCAGCTAGGAGCGAGCTCGAGCGCTTTGCTTCCACGGGGGGAGAGAAAGGCTGCTGCTGAAAGTACAAGCTGGCAGATCATGACAGAGCCAAGCAGCAGAAAGGAAGGATTTAAAAAATGCCGGAGTGCTACTTTCAGCATCGATGGCTATAGCTTTACAATTGGTGAGCCTGATTTAATTCCTCTTCTTTCTTTCATTGTCTCTGTTCTCCTCCTTTTCTCTCTTTCTTTGCAGCTCCAGTAAGTACAGGTGAAAGACAGCTGTTGACAACTGCCTTTTGTCAATATATGCCTTTAAAACGTACAGATGCCCTGCAATTTTTGTCTGGGTTGGTTTTCCATTCTGCCTTCTATATTTTCTTCTGCCCAAGAAACTTGCCTTTGAGACGCAGCCACTCTAAATCCTTCCACTGGGTTTTGGCATGAGTTCACCGAGACGTTCGCAGAACTTTTGTTTTGGAACCTTATCTCAGGAAAGCCTGGGCTTCGGGATTGCAGGTTTCCAACTTGCTAGCTGCGTTTCCTTCCGATGAGCCCAGAACATAACCCCTGGGAGCCCTGGCTTTGTTTCCAGTATTTCTTTGTTCACTTAGCCAGTGTTTCCAAATTCTTTAACCTTTTGCCATTTCTCAGTTTGCGTAAAGATGCATGTAACCGTTCTTGCTGCCTCTCAAACACAAAGAGCAAAATTGCTGGGGCAGGGCAAGATGTAAGGAGAGATTAGGAATTTTAGGACTGGTTGTTGTTGCTGTTTGAAGAGTGCAGTTTATTGTTTGTGTTCACTGTCTTAGGGAAAAGTGAGGCTTCTTAAAGCGACAGGTGTCTACGTGTTTTTCCAACAGACTTAACTGTGCAAAAGTTAAAATCTGAGGATTCCCTGAGCAGGCTGCTCTGCTAAAACTGCATATCTCACTAGGTTTTGTTATATAAATCCCTATAGATCTTAGAAACAAAGCAAACTTACAGCCCACTTTAATTTTTAGATGAAATCCAAGTTAAAATATATAGAAAACTTACTTGTAATAATCAATTGATACAAATTCCATTCCCCTTGGAATACCTTTAAGATGACAGAGATTCTACTTCCTTGCAGTTGTGAAATCAGGAAAGTTTTTCCTGATTTGTACTAGTGTAATTGGGTCACAATTTCATCTAATAATGATGGATACAAGCTTTTTGTTGGTGTGGGAGGAGGTACCTCTTTATTCCTCTGCTTTATGGAAAACTTGTTTTGCAATCATTAACATCATGCAAACATTAAACTTGCTGAAAAAAATGGAGATGGAAATGTATGTTTCATTAAAATATCTTCATGTAGTCATCTGTTAATGTGCATATAGCATTTTAAAGGTGAAACTGCCAGGCAAATGCTTCTTTTAAAATTTCTTTCTCTAACGGGAAGGTGGTAGTCCCTCCACAGGTTAAGTTCCAACATGCTCACTTTTGAACACCCTATCTTAGCCTCTCCCCCTCTCAGCTTCATTACTAATAGTGTTATTTCATCAGTTTGTGTCGGTCTGGAGGAGCAACATTTCCTTTTTGAGCCTAGGCACATTATCTGGAGATGCTGAACATTTATGACTGTGCCTAATTATTTTTTTTGTTCATGATCAAACCGACAGGATTGCTGTATTTGTTGCTCTGCTGTCTTTATTGCTACTCGTGCTCAAGAAACAACTAAACCAAATTTTGAATCAAATGACTCAGGGTTAGAGTTGCAGCTTCTTCTGCTTCTTAGCACAGCTGCTGCATAGGAGTTCCTGTGCTATTTTCTTCTATTTGGTGCACACAACCAGCTTATTGATTCTGTGATCTGTGCATTATATAACGTCTATTTTTATATCTGGGCAAGTGTGCATTGGATTGACTCACATAACCGTGAAAACTTTGTAAACATGCAGTCTAGTATTACCAGCACTGTGCGGTAGACAGATCCGAATGATTCATGTATTTGTTAATCCTTATACTGAAGAAAATGAATGTATCCAAAAGTTCCCACAGCAACATTAGTGTGTCAGGGATGGGCTTAAACTTCTTTTTTTCCATCTGATGAGACTTCTGTATAGGTATCTAGTTTTGGGTACTGCAAATTTTTGAGAAGTTCTTGGGAAATGCTGAGCTGCTGCATCTGCTATTGAAGTGTCAGCTGGGAGAGAAGGCTGATGCTCTTGAGGAACAGAGTAATATCAGGTTGAGAGAAATGAGTTTCCATTTGGGTGCAAAAGAAAATATTTTGCATTAATTCACCCTTATACTAACTGCTAAGAAAGGGTGATCTTCACAGCGTTTTGATAAATGATCACTTATAACAAGACTTAATGAAAATTTTAATGAAAGACCTGGGCCTAACATCAAACATGAAAGTACGTGGGCATGGAAGGAGGCTGGTGCAAGAAAAGCTCCTTGCTGATGGCTTGCAGCCTTGTGTCTCTGGAGACGGTCAGCATCCGTTCACACAGCAGCGCAACCTAGAGCAGGTTCTGGACTGCTCTGATTTTCACCTTGGTTGCTTACAGCGCTGGTGGTGGGACAGGAGAGCTGTAGGAACTCCCCATTTCCCAAGGCCTTCACAGATCCCTGTGGAAGAAAGGGATGTGCCATACCAGAAAGGCAAATGTATGCCAATACTCAATAGCTTTCTTCTGTACGAAGAAACAAGGTAGTTGCAAATCCCTTTCCTCCAGATACCACCCTTTTGACAGAGACCATGAGGAGGACTGAGGTGTGCTGCGCTATGCCTACTGAGGATTTCTGTGCAGTTTTGGATATTCTGCTTTTACGGACTTTTTGCGCTGGTAGTGTGATGTAAAGGGACTATAGTGGAACCACAGTGTGAGCCATTTAGTGGGACCATTCAGGACAGGAATCATGCAATTTAGTAGCTATAGAAAGTTCAGTGTATCTCAGATGAAGGCTTCAAAATCTTTATTTGCCATGGTCTACGTCAGCAAATTTCAGAGACCATGAAGTTTTGTATACACAAGTTATTGTATTTGAGCTCTTGTTTAACTTTTGCTAAATTTTTCTCCACTAGAAGTAAAACATAACAGAATGGCAGCTGAGTTTAAAAGAAAAGAAGTTAAGAGTTAAGGCCTATATATTTTTTTTTTTGTCCTGCGCCTTGTCTGATCACTCCTGTGCAAATGAAAGGCTATTAAGTCAGAAAGCCAGTGTGTTACTTACTGACTTTGCTGCTGTAATTGACTGACTAAAGATGCAAGACAGAAAAACATCCACTGTCTTTAAACCTGGGAAAATGGTAAACACAAACATTAACAAGAGGACATTTTCTTCTGCGTTTATCACCTTCCTATGACCAAGAGCTAACTTCATTAAAGCTCCCGCTCTCTGCTTTTCATATCCAGAAGCACCTGGCAACACTGTTTTGTCCCATCCAACGTATCTAATAAATTTATTTTTATAGATTAGAATGAAGTGATGGGGAGTCCTGCTGTAACTCAGGTGTTACTGGAGAAGAGGGATGTGGCACCGAAACACTTAGTCTAGCTCACAGCAGTTGTTTCTAAATCTTGCAGGAAAGTTTCTTTAGGAGGACACTGTCTCCATTTTGCGTGCAAAAGCTCTCCCTCCATTGAAGATCTGAGTTTTGCTCGGTGGTGCTTTTGGGCCCTATTTTGAATAATTCTTTAAAAATGTCATTTTCTTAATGTTGCTGGAATTTCTCATGTTGCAGTTCACTACCTGAAACCCACTTCAACATCCCTTTCAACATCACAGGTAGAACAGCCAAAGTAGTTCTTGCTGGTCCCTCTGACAGATCACTTCAGAAACGCCTTCTGTGTTTTGGTCAAAGAAAATGTTGCTTGAGGAGGTACGTGTGCTGTGCTGGTCTAAGTTGGGGTGGGGAAGATTGGAAGCAAACTAAATAGTGAACTCAGCTTTATTAGGATAAGGAAAAATACCTTCAGCTCTGTGTCACATGCTTAACTTTTAAAGAAAATGCTGCTGTGGATTTTCTGTTATTCTCTCTTGAATGTCCATTAGGAGTAGAATAGACAGGAATGGGTTTTTAAAATTATTCTAGAAAGAAACCAGCGAAATAAGAGCAGTTTCATTTTTTGTACTGTATTTTGGCCAGAGAACTGTGTACACTGTAGCAATTAACTGTTTTGATCTTGTGTATTGATTTTCAGCCTTGTTGGAGTTTGTCATTCATCTGAGGGCAACGGGCACCTTTGCAACCCACAAAAGAGGCAGGTTTCAGCAGAAGACACCCAGTACATTTTCATGGAGATTTCCTTTAATTCTGCTCTTAGTTGCTTATAATGAATGTCATTCTGACTGAAAGCACACTGTAATTACAAGGTGCTGACAAATCTCTCGCTAATTCTGCGTGTGCGTCACTCAGAGCCTTCCTTCAAAGGAGGTCTGGGAGAAATGTCTGTCTGTGGGGTCAGTCCGCTTTCGGGGAGGGGGGGAGGTATCTCTGCTTGCACACGAACAGTGTCACTGGCAGAAAGGTGAAGGGGGAATGCATAGCCACCACTCCTGCTGTGGATTATAGCCTCTCCTTGTCTTTGTACCTAAATTCTATCATTTTCTTTGTTATGACATAATACAAAAGATTTAAAAAACAGCAATGAAAGACCCAAAACTTTGCTCTTTTTTTTTCTCCCCCTCTCTCTCCTGATAGACCTTAATGAGAGGATATTTTCTCAATAAAAGCTGATATGAAGCACTGATTTCTGTGTAAACAGTGGAACACTGTCATCTGAAATCTAGGAACTGGGAAATCTAAGTTTATTAATATAATACAAATACTAAGCTTGCCATAGGATGTGAGATTTTTAATGTGATTTAAGGAAGCCTGATATAGTTACAATATGCTATAAAGAATTAAAATCTCTTCCAACATAGTCCTATCCCCAACAAATTCACCTACAGAAAGCTGTCAGCAAATAAATTGTGAAATAAAGCTCTAAAGTTATAAGAGGTTTTTTCTGCTCCCTCCATTACAAAGTTGTGTTTTAGCTTCAAACCAGTCTGGTCTCTGTCTGCTCTGCCTGAAAATACACCTGAAAGGAATTTGCATAGTTGGCATGCATATGGGTGAGATACCCAGCTGGCCCTTTGTGTGGGGTGGGTGGTCTCTACCACAGTGATGGGCAATAGGAATTCCTGCTGTTGGTACTTTAACCTGTAG